TTTTAATTTATTCTTTTTAATTCTTATGTTTGATACTAAACTCTTCATTGCGATTAACAATTATTTTATTTATTTATTAAATAATCATTAACTAATTTATCAATTGAATAATGTTATTGGAATATACCAGCTCTAAAACATGCAATTTGCAGAGGTAACCATCCACTCAGCAGCAATTCATCTATAACTTTACTAGAATAAATTAATCTTGCATTAAAGTCAAAAATCTTCTTTCTTAATATTAATACATTCATCAAAAATAGTAGCACATTTATTGATTTGCAAAATAGCCATTAGCTGCAGCATCCCAGAACAGAAAATTAGAAAAATATCGCCAAAATAAAAGGGGCTAAAGAATCGCATTAAAAGATTGTTTAATTTTTTTAGAGTAAGCGGCATAAATGAAGTGTTAAGGGCTGGTTATACTACAGCAGCAGTGTGTCGCAGTGAGCCTGTCGCGGTGTTTTTAAATTTATGCCCAATATTGAAGCGTGGTCTTGGGTATGTTATTCCACAACCCAACGCAAGAGGGACAATCACGAAAGAGCTGTGGGTGTAGATACAGTCAAGGCGGTGAGGAAGTGGAGGCAAGTTTGTGCTAAAACGGAGGGACATGAGGGCGAAAAAGAGCGGGGATCCAGGGGGGAAAAAGGGTCCCAGCGTTCCTACGCACCTCGCTCTTCTAGCTGATCCATCTTCACGAGTCGTTTTCCACAATGGCGGTCATACAAACAAAACAAGCCGTTAAGGTACCAAACAGGAAATACTCATAGTGTAGAGCAGATGTAGAATCGACCAATCAGCTGCCTCCTATCTTCGGCGCTGTCTGCGGTCATCTACAATTTTGGAGAGGTGCAGCAGGGTGTCTGCGGAATGGGCGGGGACACATTTGCGTTCACACATGCAGACGCCCTGGTTTCTGAGGGTAAATTGGCCTTTACATACATGTATAACTTTTTATATCTGAAAAAAAAATCTGCCATTTTTTACCTTTTTGGCTTGCCATACACTTCCACTAACCCTCTGCCAGTGTCTTAGATCAGCATAAACCAGCACTGCAGTTCAAAACAAGGAAGCAGGTCTTTGAGCTTCTTCATCATTACCAGTCCTTCCTGTCTGAGTTTAAAATTTCTTTATCTACTTATATTCTGATTTATCGCCGAACGGAAGCAATAAGAAAAAAACGCTCATCTTTTGAAGGAAAGCTGTGATATCCTGTGAGGTTTACATTAAGTTTTCTGATATCCTCTTTCCCATTATCCACCTAAAATTACTGCACTACAGAAAGCTTGGTGAAAGGCAAAAATGCACTGAGAAAGCCTTTAACCATGAAATTCATACGTATCAAAACCCACTTCACCTCAGCGTCAATAAGTTAGGGGAACAAAAACTAAGTAGATATTAAATGGGAAACTGTCTTACGACATGTTGACTCTTATCTGTGGTCCATTCAGGCTGAAAAAGAGCAAAATTCTGAGCAGACACCAGGAAGGCTAAATAAATCATCAGCCTGTTAATGTCTGGAACTAAAAATGTTGGTAGTTTGATGAAAATCTCTAGAATTTGAATTTACAGTAACATCTAAAACAATTAGAATATTGTGTAAAGGTTTAATATTGAAAGTCAAATGGCTTTTTATAGATATTTATCACACAAAGAGTGAAATATTTCACCTTTTTATTTCCTTTAATCCTGATGATTATCATGTCTTTCAATGCAATACCATTAAGATTACTTTTGGTGAATAACTAACAACCTTCACGTGGCTTCTTTATGTCGGTACCAGCACTTAAAAACTTGTTCAGTCTTGTTTTTTGTTTGCTTAAATCTGAGAAATGTAACATCTAGAAGAAACCATCTCTTACCTCCGTTACTATGATAACTATTCCTATTAGTGCAGAATCCTTTCCTCTCAACACAATCATTTAAATCAGAAATAAATATTTGGACCATTTTTGGTTTTAAGTTGAAAGAATGGAACTTCCGCTCAGTTTCTCTGAATATGTATTGACACCAATCCAGGAGTGCGTGTCTGTTTGTTCACACAGCAGCCACCTGTGGTTTTAGAGCTTTCTTTCTAAGCACAAAGCCAAACCAAAGCTGATTGGCGTTGTTTATGTGGTGCAATGCAGCTTGGACTCCTACATTGGAGAGAATAAATACCAACTATACAAACGGATGGAGCAGCAAAGAACCAGCAGCTCTGAGAAGGATTTAGCTGAAAAAGCACTTTGAGAACAAAGGACACTTTTGATGTCCAAAATGTTCAGATCCTGGGAAGATTGTCTAAGGGAGAAGGAAGCCATCTTTGTTAAAAGATCAAAGCAGTCACTGAATAGAGGAGGATTGAAGTTTCAGTTTCCAAGCATTTAAAGCTTATTCCTGGAACTCACTCCAAAGAGGTTAGACAAGAACACTTATCATGATTCAAATGGCCAAAGACAAAACCCGTACATAACAGACTGAAACAACCCAAGAGAATGAAGGGTAGGTCATGGATTTGTATCTCATGGAATGCTCTTCGGTGGATGGACATCCATGCTACCTCAAAACGTCAGCACTTCAACTACAGGTTGGTCTGGATCGATCCGACAGAACCTCCTGGATATGTGCTGAAACATTTCAGAAAAACTGAGCAAAAGTCCGGTTTCCTCCGATTTAAGCCCATTTTGTTGTTGCCGTGACCCGGATGACTGAGAATTGGAACAGGCATATATATTATTTTATTTATATATATATATATATATATATATATATATATTGAACTACATGTTTTGGACCTGCCAAAATGTATAAAATATATTATTTAAATACAATTTTTTTTTTCTGTAAGATTAAAACTTTCAGTCTGCACCAGTTCACTTCTAATGAAAAGGTTGTTCTGACCTTTAAGAGCTGCAGATAAAGCCAAGTCTCAAATGAACTTCCATCCATTGATTATTCTGCCAGAGCAACAAAAAAGCCTTTTATTTTTGTTAAAGTTTGAAGTGTCATTAATTTCTTTTAAACGACCCTGGAATGAAAAGTCACCAAGAACAAATTATGACTTCTTTTTTTCTCAAGGTTTAAATTAAACATTTCTGATCGTAAATCTTCTTTGTCTTTTTTTCTGTAGAGTATGGGATCGCAGGACGATGACGTTGGTAGCAAAACATCAAGTTATTCATGAGGGGGCCTTTGACAGGGCCAGAACGCCACAGCCACCCCAACACGTTCTTCCCAGGATGAGTTGGATTTTTTTAAAAAGGAAAAGCAAGCATTCTGTCGCATATGAACTTTGGTCAAGGAAAACCTAGTTATATGAAATGATGACGAATTTGATTATTCTTACTTCACCGTGTCTTGGGGATAAAAAAAAGATCCTTAGAGAAAAGAGAAAAAAAAATAAAACTTTTGTCAGTGTTTTATTTATCGATATTCAGGAGCGCCACAGCTACGTCGACAGAAACCACAATAAAAACTGGACTTATCTGTTCCAACCTTGTGTGAATAATCTCACTGTTTGTTTTGGTTTTTCTGCATGATGGCCGTAACCGGAGGGCATTGCATATGAAGCGAAACATCAATGGCTGACGAGGAATAAATATGATTATATTCCACCTTTGTAAAGATGGTGCTGATGGTTTTCTTCTCACTCCTTGGTTAGATTGTAGATATCAAATGCAAAGCTGTACACACGGACTTGCCCTCCACGGAGCTCGGCGCTGTGGAGAAGTCGAACACAATCTGGTGCACTGTTTTGTTTTGGTTTTCTTTTTTTTTTTTTCTTTCCCTCCTTTTGTTTTTAGGTCAGATCCACTAGATGTCGCTAGAGCACTGCACAAGAATCTGTTTTCGAGAGCTTGAAGTCAGATAAAACCAAACTGTCTTGTCAATCGGGAGCTTTAGCATTGCGATTGTGGATCTGTTAATAAATTGTTTAAGGATACAGGTCTCAGTAACTTCTTCTGCACACTCTGCTTTACTTTCCATCATTTTTAAAATGATCGTAATCTCAGTTATTGCTTTGAAGCTGTCTCATCGGGTGTGCACCATTTGTCACCCGGCGTGGCAATTTGTGTGCTTGAGCTGGAGGGATTCAAAGATCATTTGTTGGGGTTCATCAGCCTAGATGTGGCCTTGATGTGAGAAGGGGCAGACATCTAAGAAAATCATTACAGCTGTTTAGTTGTTGGGAAAATTCACAATTTAGATAAAAGTCAGTGAGTCTGAATTAGTGGAGCTAACATTACAGTCAGAGAAAACCTAAAGTACAGAACTCTGCATCCATAAACGGCTTATTTAGGTTATGCTAAAAAGGCGCCGAATTGAATATTTATAATATTTTGTTTATCTAAGAGAAGGGTTTAACGAATCAGATACATTTCTACAAGTTAAAGGTAGTATTTTTATTTTTGGCCTACATCAATGTTGAATCATCTCATGTTTTGCAGATCAAAATATAAATCAAAACCAAAATGTCCCATTTTACAAAAAATTACTTCCCTTTTTTTTTTTTTTAGCTCTTGATGGGTACGAAAAAAATTGAGTCTTAATTCTTTATCCCTTTGTCTCAAGGTTATTTTTCTTTTCCTCCTCCATTGTTTATATCATTTCTTTTCCACCTGCATGTTTCCCTTTTTTCCATCTCCTTCCTTCCTCTTGTGCCCCATCTCTGTCCTTGCTCCATTTTTCTTCCTATATTGTAATTTCTTCCCTTTATTCTCAAGTGTCCCATCTACCAACCGTTTTAATAATAATCAATAGTTAAGTGTAGTATTTTATAGTTAAAAACACACTAACTCCTCCTACGCCGCCTCATTTTGACCATCATCCAGTTGACTGTTAAAAGGAGTGAATCCAGTGAGCATCTCTCAGCAAGCGGATGTGGTTCAGGCCGACCAATCACAAGGCAGCTCTCATTGTGTAGAGGCGGGATTTTGTAAGAAAAAAAAAGCCCCGAATATTGGCACACGCCAATCACGTTGAGAGCGCGACTCTGATTGGTTGAGCTCCACGGCTGAGGAGGGTCTACTCCTGACGACTGTCGCCGTGTTGAAATTCCAGTGCTAACCAACTTTAGCCAGCCTGCTAACATATAATTGGGCGAATTAGAAGAGCCTCATGTGTTGCGTAGCCCTGCTTTAAGCGCGTCCATGATAACCTGCAAACAGACCGCAGTGTAAACATTTGCCTCCATGTTTGCTGTTGCGTGTGCATCAGCTCCTGCCACCGGGACATGGCCAGTTAGCCTGAACGCAGCAGCCGTTGGATAAACGAAGCTGGCGAGCTAGCTGGAGGAGGAGAAAAAAACCCGTTCGGACCGGGGTGGCGGGGGGCGGCTTGTGAACAGGTTCGTCGCTCGGAGTAGGCGGAAAGCCGGATGCTGTGACTGCCATGAGTCCCGCAGGCTGCCCTCATGTGAACAGCTTCAAAGTGGACAACTGGAAGCAGAACCTGAGGCTTATTTATCAGTGCTTCGTGTGGAGCGGTTCAGCTGAGACCAGAAAACGCAAGGTAACAAGTGGAGGGGAGACAAGTGTCCTACTGGGCGACACAACCTGGTTGTTTTTGTCTTTTCTATTGAACGTTAAGAGCTCCCCGCCCTTCCAAGACACACGCATCTAAAGCCAGGAACCCGCTTTCAGATACATACATTAAAAAACATTCAGTGTTTTTATTTTTCGACATGAAGTATAGCTCAAACTAAAGCAAACTATCAGATTGTGTCACTTTAGAGATCAGCTCCCATCACAGTTAGAACCTAAAGCACTAGATCAGAGCTGCTGTGCATCTATCTGCTGAGGCTCCGCTTCCTTCCACCAGCAGCAGCATTTCCTCCTCTGTGGGATTTGAATAAAATAAATAAATGACCCTCCCCCCTTTCCTCTGCAATGAATAACTCATCATCCGCTGGAATCAAAGTTTAAAACATTTCTGATCGGCAGGGGTTCAGAATCGGTCTAGTTTCTGCTTCACTTTGTAGATGTTTCACTGTAGAACCGGCCTCACTACAGTGCGGCTGGTTCTGTCTGTTTGCAGCTTTTCTACATTTGCATTTCTATTGATGAATCCCTCAAACACTGTTATTGTGCAGACTGTATGTGGGGATTACATTACACCAATACTCAGCCTCTGCTGCTCCACTATGAGGAGGCTGGCACTGACAGGAGCCCCCCCCACCCCCGCATTTCTTACTGTCAAGAAATGCAGAAAAAAATCATTGCTCTGCTTTACTCTGATATAGGCAGAGTATTTGGGCCAGGCTAGAGGATTTTTTCTTCTATTTCGAGAATAAAGTCTTAAAATTACTGTAACATTGACAGAATATAGTCGTAACATTATAGGAATAAAGTCGTAACATTAGTATAGTCGTAACATTATAAGAATAAAGTCGTAACATTAGTATAAAGTCGTAACATTATAAGCATAAAGTTGTAACATCAGTATAAAGTCGTAACGTTATGAGAATATAGAACAAAGTCGTAACATTATTAGTATAATGTCGTAACATTACGAGAATATAGTCGTAACATTACGAGAATATAGTCGTAACACTACAAGAATATAGAACAAAGTCGTAACATTATTAGAATAAAGTCGTAACATTGCCAGAATAAAGTTGTAACATTATAAGAATAAAGTCGTAACATTGTCAGAATAAAGTCGTAACATTGTCAGAATAAAGTCGTAACATTGTCAGAATATAGTTGTAACATTGCCAGAATAAAGTCGTAACATTATTAGCATAAAGTTGTAACATTAGTATAAAGTCGTAACATTACGAGAATATAGTCGTAACATTACAAGAATATAGAACAAAGTCATAACATTACGGGAATATAGTCGTAACATTCCAAGAATATAGAACAAAGTCGTAACATTATTAGTATAATGTTGTAACATTATGAGAATATAGCCGTAACATTACAAGAATATAGAACAAAGTCGTAACATTACGAGAATATAGTCGTAACATTACAAGAATATAGAACAAAGTCGTAACATTATTAGTATAATGTTGTAACATTATGAGAATATAGTTGTAACATTACGAGAATATAGTCGTAACATTACAAGAATATAGAACAAAGTCGTAACATTATTAGTATAATGTAACATTATGAGAATATAGTTGTAACATTACGAGAATATAGTCGTAACATTATTAGAATAATGTAATATTAGTATAAAGTCGTAACATTATGAGAATATAGAATAATCTTAAAATTAGTATAAAGTCGTAACATTACTATAAAGTCGTAACATTATTAGTATAATGTCGTAACATTATGAGAATATAGTCGTAACATTACGAGAATATAGTCGTAACATTACGAGAATATAGTCGTAACATTATTAGAATAACGTAATATTAGTATAAAGTCGTAACATTATGAGAATATAGAATAGTCTTAACATTAGTATAAAGTCGTAACATTACGAGAATATAGTCGTAACATTATTAGAATAACGTTGTAATATTAGTATAAAGTCGTAACATTATGAGAATATAGAATAGTCTTAACATTAGTATAAAGTCGTAACATTACGAGAATATAGTCATAACATTAGGAGAATATAGTCGTAACATTACAAAAAAGAAATTAAAGTCATAACATGGCAACATTGCAACATTACAAAAATATAGTCGTAACATTAGTATAAAGTTGTAACATTACGAGAATATAGTCTTAACATTATTAGAATAAAGTCCTAACATTATTAGTATAAAGTCGTAACATAATGAGAATAAAGTCGCAAAATTACTGGAATAAAATC